CTCCTGTAACTGCAGAAAATGGAGTCCTGATAACAAAGCAGCGAATAACTGTAATCTCAACTAACAATTAGATGTCACACTGTCATGATAGACAGAAACTGCAATTATGCTGGAATACAGTGTCCCTTCAGGATACTAAGGAAACAAGTGCTTTGTTTTTGATAGGAAAATCTAGACTGTAAAGGTTGCAATTTTATATTGGAAATGGTCGGGGGAGGGGAACAGCTGGTAATTGCTGCAAGTATATAAGGTTATGGTTGATCCTAATATAACTGTAAATCTGGGGCCAGCAAAATCCTTAACCAGCTGCTTGGGGAACTTTATGGGTAAAAGATGCACACATTATAAAAAATATGGTGCTTTGAGCCAAATAAAGTCAGTAAGGGGACTCTTGTCTCAGTGTATGTGCATAGATGTATCTGGATTGATATGCCAATGCTTCTGCATGAAACAGAATCTAACATCTGATGGTTTCAATGCACTGTTAAAAAAAACAAAAAACCTTTAATAACAGAACGAGAAATCAAGACTCATAACTCCTCTTTCAACGTGGGTAAAACTCCTAACATTCTAGGAGAGAAATCAGGGAATTTGGATTATTTGGATGACACTGAAAATCTATCACAAAACAGATCTATTGATAGAAAAAATGTAGGGGCTGCTTAGTGAAAGATAATACGGGAAACTGTTTTTAAAATGGAGAGTTGGCTTGGTTCCATCAAATCAGGGGAAAATATATACTTCTTGAAGTGAATATGACAAGTCCTGTCCACACGATACATTTGGAACCCAGAATCAACCTCAAAGTTATTCCCAAGTTTAATCTAAAGTGGCTCAATGAAAGGATAGTATTTCAACTTGATTAGTGCAGAAACTGAGCATACAAATATGAGAACCGATGCTGATGCATTTGTGACAGGAACAAATGCTCTTCTGGAGTAGGATGGGTCGAACCACTCAGAGAAGCCTCAGGTAATACTTCACAAGAACTTGCACACAGCAG